TTTTAGGGAAAATGACATTGAGGTCCCATGGAGAACAAAATACATCAAATAGGTCCCCTGAAATCTGATAATTTTTTGAAGTCCCAAAGGGACTTAGATGCAATTTTCAGAATCCACTAATTACCGTTTTGCCCTGCCCCTGCCAGCAGAAAAAAAAAGACGGGAGAATGAACTTTGAGGATTTCCTGCGCAGAAGCTTGAGGGAGAAGACATTGGGAAAGAGAGAAGGAGCCATTTATGATGAAAAATCTTCTCTATTACCATTATTGAACTCCAAAGTGCTTCCATGTGAATCTTCACAAATCTTGAAGTGTGAAACTTTCTTCTCTCCTCTCCTACCTCTCTTGATAGATTCTGGATTTGTTTGGGAATGAGAAATCAAAAAATCGTTTTTGCCTTGGGTATTTCAAAGCTTTTGTTTTTTGTTTAGGATTCAGAAGTTAATGAATGGAAAAGCTGTGTTTTTAGTTGGTGTGTGTTGTGATTTAAGTTGGGTGTGTAGAATGATAATGGGTGCTCTGTTTTTGGGTTGTTTTTGGGTGGTTTTCCTCTGTTCTGATGTTACTTTAGTGGAAAAGGAAGAAAAAGATGAAGGTTAGTGAGGGTAGAAACCCTTAGCACGAAATGGGATTGTGTTGTCAGTCAGGCCGCGATTGTTGTCAATGTGTGCCGCCACACTTGTCAATGTAGCTCCTTAAGTTGTCAATGACAGTTACGTGCTGGTTGATACAGGTTGAAGTTACTGATGGTATTTCAAAGCTTTTGTTTTTGGTTTAGGATTCAGAAGTTAATGAATGAAAAAGCTGTGTTTTTGGTTGGGGTGTGTTGTGATTTAAGTTGGGTGTGTAGAATGATAATGGGTGCTCTGTTTTTGGATTGTTTTTGGGTGGTTTTCCTCTGTTCTGACGTTACTTTAGTGGCAAAGGAAGAAAAAGATGAAGGTTAGTGATGGTAGAAACCCTTAGCACGAAATGGGATTGTGTTGTCAATCAGGCCGCGATTGTTGTCAATGTGTGCTGCTACACTTGTCAATGTAGCTCCTTAAGCTGTCAATGATAGTTGCGTGCTTCTTGATGCAGGTTTAAGTTACTGATAGCAAGTACGTCTGGAAAACATCTATTTTGCTTTGTTCACATAGGGAGAAAGTTTATAAATGATGAAGAAGATGATATGAGATATGTGGGAGGAAGTGTAAGAACAACCAATGTAAAGGAGGGCACAAGTTATGAAGAATTGAAGGAAATTATATCATCAATTGCTGGGAAAAAAAAGCAACTCATTTCTTCTGAAATTCTCAGTTGTGTGAAGAGAATTTTTTGTAAATGGATATACACCAATAGTTAGTTTTGTAACTATATGCAACCCTTATGTTTTTTTTTTGGATGGATTGTGAAATAAGTGTAGTTTTATGTATATGAAGGTACAAATAAAAGTTGGCTATGAATTGGCATATTAGATTCTGCTATCATTTCAGTTGTCATTACCTGTACCCTGTATTGTCATTAGACCTGTTATGACTTGTCAATAGAGCACTGTGACTTGTCAATTAATTTGCTGATATAAGTTGTCAACAATATGAATTCAAGTTATTTAACCTGTTTTAGTATCATATGATATTTTCAATTACTTTATCATATTACATTTTGGTTATATTGTCATATATAATCATTATTAATAAAGTGTCAATGGTGACACTATGACTTATCAATGGTCGCACTGTGACTTGTCAATAGTGGCACTATGACTTATCAATAGTGGCACACTGACTTGTCAATGGTAGCACTGTGACTTGTTGTTCGCCGAATAACTTCTTAAAACAGTTGGGTGCCGCGACGAATATGATTAGGAGCCGCAGCGCCTTGCACAGAATGATAGCTACTTGGGACAGATGGGGGAGCTGCGACGGATATGGTCAAACGCCGCGGTGAATTATCAATTGTCAATAGTGACACACTGACTTGTCAATGGTGGCACTATGACTTGTCAATGGTGACACACTGACTTGTCAATGGTAGCATTATGACTTGTCAATGGTGACACTATGACTTGTTAATGGTGGCACACTGACTTGTCAATGGTAGCACTGTGACTTGTTGTTTATAGAATAACTTCTTAAAAGGGTTGGGTGCCGCGGTAGATATGATCAAGAGTCGCAGCGCCTTACACAGAATGACAGCTCCTTGGAACAGATGGGGGAGTCGCGGCAGATATGGTCAGACGCCGTGGCGAATTATCAGTTATCAATGATGGCACACTGACTTGTCAATGGTGGCATTATGACTTGTCAATGGTGGCACTGTGACTTGTCAATGAAGCACTGTGACTTGTTAATGAAGGCACTGTCCCTTATCAATTGAATATAAATTTGAGTAACACCTTCTTCTTAATAATTATATTTTAATGCAAATATTACTTAACATTATAAATAAATGACACGTTCAGTTGTAAAAATCTTGAATATCAATTGTTAATATTCACACATTTATTTGTTATGAAATTGTTAATATCACTTGTGACCATATAAATCCGTCGCGGCCCCCCATCTGTCCCAAGTAGCTGTCATTCTGTGCAAGGCGCCACGGCTCTTGATCATATTCGCCGTGACACCCAACCGTTTTAAGAAGTTATTCGCGAACAACAAGTCACAGTGCTACCATTGACAAGTCAGTGTGCCACTATTGATAAGTCATAGTGTCACTATTGACAAGTCACAGTGCGACCATTGATAAGTCATAGTGTCACCATTAACACTTTATTAATAATGATTATATATGACAATATAACCAAAATATAATATGATAAAGTAATTGAAAATATCATATGATACTAAAACAGGTTAAATAACTTGAATTCATATTGTTGACAACTTATATCAGCAAATTAATTGACAAGTCACAGTGCTCTATTGACAAGTCATAACAGGTCTAATGACAATACAGGGTACAGGTAATGACAACTGAAATGATAGCAGAATCTAATATGCCAATTCATAGCCAACTTTTATTTGTACCTTCATATACATAAAACTACACTTATTTCACAATCCATCCAAAAAAAAAAACATAAGGGTTGCATATAGTTACAAAACTAACTATTGGTGTATATCCATTTACAAAAAATTCTCTTCACACAACTGAGAATTTCAGAAGAAATGAGTTGCTTTTTTTTCCAGCAATTGATGATATAATTTCCTTCAATTCTTCATAACTTGTGCCCTCCTTTACATTGGTTGTTCTTACACTTCCTCCCACATATCTCATATCATCTTCTTCATCATTTATAAACTTTCTCCCTATGTGAACAAAGCAAAATAGATGTTTTCCAGACGTACTTGCCATCAGTAACTTAAACCTGTATCAAGAAGCACGTAACTATCATTGACAGCTTAAGGAGCTACATTGACAAGTGTAGCAGCACACATTGACAATAATCGCGGCCTGATTGACAACACAATCCCATTTCGTGCTAAGGGTTTCTACCATCACTAACCTTCATCTTTTTCTTCCTTTGACACTAAAGTAACGTCAGAACAGAGGAAAACCACCCAAAAACAATCCAAAAACAGAGCACCCATTATCATTCTACACACCCAACTTAAATCACAACACACACCAACCAAAAACACAGCTTTTTCATTCATTAACTTCTGAATCCTAAACCAAAAACAAAAGCTTTGAAATACCATCAGTAACTTCAACCTGTATCAACCAACGCAACTGTCATTGACAACTTAAGGAGCTACATTGACAAGTGTGGCGGCACACATTGACAACAATCGCGGCCTGATTGACAACACAATCCCATTTCGTGCTAAGGGTTTCTACCCTCACTAACCTTCATCTTTTTCTTCCTTTGCCACTAAAGTAACATTAGAACAGAGGAAAACCACCCAAAAACAACCCAAAAACAGAGCACCCATTATCATGCTACACACTCAACCTAAATCACAACACACACCAACTAAAAACACAGCTTTTCCATTCATTAACTTCTGAATCCTAAACCAAAAACAAAAGCTTTGAAATACCCAAGGCAAAAATGATTTTTTGATTTCTCATTCCCAAACAAATCCAGAATCTGTCAAGAAAGGTAGGAGAGGAGACAAAAGAAAGTTTCACACCTCAAGATTTGTGAAGATTCACATGGAAGCACTTTGGAGTTCAATAATGGTAAGGGAGAAGATTTTTCATCATAAATGGCTCCTTCTCTCTTTCCCAATGTCTTCTCCCTCAAGCTTCTGCGCAGGAAATCCTCAAAGTTCATTCTCCTGTCTTTTTTTTCTGATGGCAGGGGCAGGGTAAAACGGTAATTAGTGAATTCTGAAAATTGCATCTAGGTCCCTTTGGGACTTCAAAAAAATTATCAGATTTCAGGGGACCTATTTGATGTATTTTGTTCTCCATGGGACCTCAATGTCATTTTCCCTTTATTTTAAGGTGAAATTTACTGAGATTAAACAATTGTTTGGATACATAACATAGTGGAGGAACTTAACGTAGAAACTAATCACTTGTACTCTCCATCAAGTTGTGCATATATTAGATTTAATATACTTATTTGATATTTGTGATTAACATGCATTCTTAAGAAGTAGCCACAGTATCCTTTATTTGTTGCATACAATATAAATCACATACGGACTTATAAAATATCAATTATAATCAAATATGTATTCATAATTAGTCTTTGCCCATAGGTAGATAATTATAAATGTGTATTTAATTAGGATGGGATAGAATTGCCTTGTATTTTCTAAGTAGTCCACAGGTATTAAGAAATATAATACTTTCTAGTTCCACCAATATGAGATAAATACATGCTATGCTAATTTCTTTACTAACAGGTAGAACTTAGTGATACGTATTTATAATTTTATGCTTTATTAATTTTTTAAGCATGCATGGCATAGTTATCGTGATTGTTTCAACTAATTTGTAAGTTCAATGATTCTCTGATATTGCAACTTCATTTTCTGTCCCTAACCTTATTATTGATGCTAGCAACAAAATTATACTAGATAGTACTAATTATCCCGATTGGAGGGAAGATGTTGCCTTGCAGCTTGGTTGTTATAACACGGACTTTGTCTTAGAGACTGACAGGCCTCCTAAACCAGCTGATGACTTGGCTAATAAAGATTATTATGAACATTGGGAGAAAACCAACCACCTTGCTCTCTTGATGATTAAAACAAGGATTCCAAGGAGCATTCGGGGAGCAATCCCTAAGTGGGAAATAACTAAAGAATACCTAGAAGTTGTTGATAAGCAGTTCAAACCAACGGACAAGCAAATGGGAGGCACCATTATGTCAGAACTATGTGCTACGAAACGCACAAGTATAGATGGAATTAGGCAGCATATAATGAAAATGAGAGATCTATTCTCTCAATTGAAAACCTTCGAGATGGAATTGATTTAGCAGTGCCTGGTGTAATTAATACTAAACTCCCTTCTTCCATAATTTAATGCCTTGAAGGCATCCTACAACACACATAAGGAGAAATGGTCACTAGATGAATTACTGTCAATGTGTGTGCAGGAAGAAACTAGGTTGTTGATGAGTGAAAAGGGTGAATCCAAGGAAGCTCATTTGGTAAAAAATTCCAATAAAGGCGGTAATAAGAAGGGAAATAAGGATGACAAACAAGAAAAAGAAAAAGAAAAGAATCCCCGCTGCTACTACCTTAAATAAGTTCTTCTGTAAAATGTCACATCCTGTTAATTTTAACCCCAGAAATGAGAAATATAAAATAGACCATGGGTTAAACAAGGTAGTCAATAGATAAAAGGCACAACTTTTAAACTGAAACTAAACTGGGGATTGAACTGTCATTTTCAAAATATCCAGTCAATATTGAATAGAGTGGGAATATATACCTGGAATTCTAAAAAAATTCTCCAAAAATCATGAAAAATAGAATAAAAGGTACAAAACAATACTTGAGGCCTAGAAGATGAAAATCAAATAAAAATAATTTATTTTGCAATTTTCTGTATTTTTCTTGAAATTTTGTATAATTAAAGGAAAATTGGCCAAATTGAATTATTTAAATATATAGGGGCCTCAATAATTCATGGAAAAGTTAGAAAAATTATTTAAAGTGTTGTTATGAATTTTAATATTTTTTTCCAACCTCTAAAGGTATAGAGGTTAGCTTTAAGTTATTTAAAGTTGAAAATTATATCGGTAAAGGGCTGATTTCAGGAAAAATTTAATTGAGGGAGTTATGTGTCAAAACAAATCTGAGAAAATTAGGAAAACCTCTCCTCATCAAAAGAAAGTTATTGGCCTAAGGAAATGAGTTTTTGGGGACAATGAATTTAACAAGATTCAAGAAAAATTTAACTGATATCGTGAAATTATATAGTGCAATAACTATAAGCTTGGTGGGGTCAAATTTCCCCCTATTCTTCTTACTTATATGGCGCCATTTATGGAGGGTGGGGACCTAAGTGGAATAATATAATTTGTTAAAGGATAGAATTGGAAGATTGAAATTATGAATAAAATATGTGGATTTTTGCACATGGGAGTTTATGTGTCCCATGAGCTGGTACCTTCATTCAGTCTGGAGGACACCTAGGGGGTATATGGTGTCTTGAAGAGGAAGAAGAGAAGAGATGGAGCCAAGTGTCCTATGGTAAAAATCAATGGTGAATTAAGTTACCATATAGTCAAGACTTAGGGTAGTTTTATAAATATAGTCTCCTCTCCTCACAAGCCACTCTTTTTGTGCCAATTTGAGAGTTTGAGAGGCAGAGTGGTTTTGTTTCAAGGGAGAAGAGAAAGAGGAGAGAAAGAACAAGGTGAACTCAAGTGATTCCAAGCTATTAATCCAGGTAAAACCTTGACTACTCTATCTGGTGTTTGTTTTTCCATAGATTAATGGTTTTAAACTTGGTTTTGGTAGAGTTTGGTGGTTGGAAATTCCAATGGTTGACGCTACATGAACTGTCTCTTGATGATTTATGATTGATATTAAGTTGTTATATGGATTAAAGGATGAAAAATGGTTGTTTAATAATGATTAAACCTTGTTGTTTGAAAGATATCAAGTTGTGCACACTTAGGACACTGTTCGGCCAAGAGAAAAATGCTATCCTAGGGTTTGATTTTTGTTGTTTTGATGCTTCCAATGGATTTAGAAGGTGATTTTGTGTAGGGGTATGTGAAGAACAAATGTTTCGAAGCATTGAAATTGATAATGGAATTTTTGAAACCTAAGAGACCATTCAGCCAAACTGAACAAGAGGAGAAGGAATTGGATTTTGATGAATTTAAGTTTAAAAATAAATTCTACATGGAAAATTGATGATGCCTTTTGTCATCAAAGCATTCAATTAAACTAGGTCCTAATTAATTTGTAATTTAGGATCGACCTAGGTCATTACTTTTAAGGAACAAGTTGTGGGTTTCTTTAGGTGAAAATTTAGGTGATAAAAAAAAGCAATAAAGTGGACCTAAACTAAAATGCAAAATTCTAATTCTAAATGCAAAATGCAAATTTCCTAAAATCTATATGAAAATTAAATCAAACTAAATGAATGCAATGCAATTTTTGGGGGGTTTTTTTGAAGGAAAAAAATTAAAATGATAAATAAAGGAAATTGACTAAAGAGTAAAGAAAGTTAACAAGTAAAAACTGAGAAGTTTCTCTTCAGGTAAGGTAGAGGAGACAACTTAAGATTTGCATGGATTTAACCTTCATAACCTTAATTAGTTAATTAGACCAAAGGGAAGTGATAAAAGAGTGGTATTAATAAACTTAATTACCTACTTGAAACAAAGGAAACCCTCAACTTCAAAAATCCTTAAACCATTAGAGAGCTCATAATAGTGTAAGGTTGGTTAATTAAGCTTATTAAAAACCAATAAAAAATAACTCAATTAATTCTGGAAATTATGTTTGAAATTATCTCATTAAACAATCAGATAATCAACCAACTTAATTAAACAATTAAGAGGCAAAAGAACCCAAATTTTGCAATTCAAACCACACTGATAATTAAACTCATAATGAAAACTCAATTATAAATTCAATTAACAATGCAAAGGTTCTAAACATAAATTCCAACAAGTGTCTCAATACAAACAAAATCCAAATGTCAATCCAATCCAAGGATAAAAAATGACAATCTAGAACTAAGTTGTCTCACAAAAATACAACTCAAAATTATTTAAAACTAAATAATCTCAAGTCCTTGAATTAAAAAGATAAATGGAACATCACTCCCTTATGGTCTTCAAGTGCTAGCCCAAGGCTCTAGTCTCCTTCATGCTCCTCCCAAGTTGCCTCCCTATAAGCTTAAGCTTCCATCAAATTGCCTTCTCCTCCAAAATTGTTTGATGCTACGGCCATAAATTGATGAAAGTTGATGATGATGTGGAGGTGGGAATTGGATCTCCTCAAGGAAATAGATGAATGTGAAAGGAAGATGGTTATTCAATTGGTGGTGGGTTTGCTTGACGTGAATGAGGGCGAGGAGAGAGTTGGCGTGAAAAAATGATGTCCGTGCGTCAATCAATGGAGAATGGAAAAAGTGTGATATTTAGGCGTGCTTCCCTCCTCCAAAAATTAGGAAAATAGTATAATAAGGGAAAAGAAAATTTTTGTGGATCCAAAGCTCAAGCCCATTAGTAATTAATTGATTTACTTGATATTAGCTATTGGATTGTGCTTAGATTCCAAGAAATAATCTTGCACCATTGGATTCCCTATGTGCCCCTTTCTTGACCTACAAGAATTTAGGTGCATCCATTAATGTAAATTATATCCAAATATAATCAAAAATTAAATATTAAATCTGCACAAAAATTAGGCAAGAAAGTGCAAAATTTTCTAAAAATAATCTTTCTAAAAATATGAGACTTGTTTTCAAAGAAATAGAAAAAATTAATTCCAAGTCAAAATAGGAAATCACAAAATATCTATATTTTTAATCCTAAATCTCAATTTTTATGCAAAATCCAAAAATCAATCAATTAATCTAATTATGCATAAAAATCCAATTAAGCTCAAAATTATCATTTAAATTTTGAATTAATGTGGGATAAAATATATAAAAATTGGGCTTTATCAAAAATTATGTAGGGAAAACTTATGAGAATCATGGAAAGAATGACGATGCTAAAACCCTAAATAGAAGGTTAAAAGGGTAGGGTTTTAAAAGGGCTTGTGTAAGGGAATGGTGTTATTGATTTGGAGTGCATTTATTCTTTTTGTTTGATAGGAAATATTGTTAAGCAAAAGGGAAGCTCAAAATCAAAGAAGGACATTGTGTGAATCAAGGGCATAAGAGGCAACTTATAACTTACAATTTAATGTTATCTTACTTGCTTGTTACTTTGTATAATTTTTTGATTGTGTGCCATGTTGTGATTGAACTTGTTTGATGATAAAATGCTTGATTGGTTGCATTGTATGCCTTGGCAAAATGCACTAATACATTAATGTTTGGAATGGTGTTATAATCTCTTTCATGGCATGAAAATTAGTTGAATACTTTTGTGAAATTACTTATAACATGTCTTGCTTGATTAACATTATAATTGTAATTCTTTGCTACTGAGATTTTCATGAAATCTTACTCTTCTCTATGTCCAAAATAACACCAATAGGGGTTGCAAACGATTTTGGCAAAGGCAAGGAAGCGGTCACATCTCAAGGAACATTTTGATGACACTTTAATGAACTCTATGTTATAATGTTGTAATAATTATTAGACAATATATGGTTGACTATTTGCGACTTGAAACCTATGTGGATGTGCTTATTACATGCTTTGAATTATGGTTCAAATATGCTTGAGGTGCTAAAGTTGAGTTATGGCAAGTTAAACACTTAAAGGGTAAAAATTGACCTAAATTGAGCCAATGTTTGACTACTTGTGATTTTGAGCAAACGAAGAATCTGGCCATAAAATTTGGTAGATCAATATATCTCATTTTTAGCTTTAAAATGAGTGATAATTCATAAAAATTGGAATGTTGTACAAAAAGTTATGCCTTTCTAAATTTAGGCATAAATTCTGAAAAATTGACAAGATGAGCAGTGTATTTTGACGATGGAATTGAGCATGCATGAGCTGAGTTCACATTCTGGAAGTATTTTATCTTTAAAGATCTTGTTGAAATATTCAAGTAAGACTTGGAACCATATCATTTCTATTTTTTTAGAATTAGTTATGATCTTTTAAAATTGAGTCAAATTTAAGGTTACCATGAATAGTAATATGAGAAAAGAAATTTTAAAATTCAATTTTTTTCAATTAAGGACTTATTAAATGATTCCAATTGCTTTCACTTGATATAAAATTAGGTGGTAAATTAAGGTATTACACTGGAAGAAGGGGCACATGAAGAATGAGTGCTCCAAGAGGAAGGCATGGCTTAAACGTAAAGGTATATTTACTTCTCAT